GACAGAGACACACATGGAGACAGAGAGATGCACACAGGAAAGAGACAGAGCGACAAAGCCCTCTCACAGGCCTTCCTTGTGCATATACTGCATCTTAGCATATGTGTCCATTCCAGAAGGAGGTCAGATCTCAGAGGACAGGAGTCATGTGAACACGTGGGAAGAAGAAACTACAGAGACTGTGAACGAGCCCCCAGAAGTCAAGGGCATTATCTGATAATCCAGGTACTATCTATCACTTTTCAGTCCTGAGAGCAAGATTTTGAAAGAGCTATTGCTAAAGAAAACAGTCACTATTTATTTTATTGCACTTTTCCTCTTTAAAAATATTCAAACACAAACTATGAGAGATGAAGCTGAGATTTGGTGGGAAGGGAAGCAGAAAGAAAGGAAAAGTAAACTAGGTTAGTTTGAGGAAGAGAACCTTCCTGCATGTAGGGGAGCCCCTACCTCCATCTGTCCCTGCTGGTTGCTTTGATAGGGGAACGGGGTTGGACTCAACAAAGGTCAAGTCTGAAGATATAGATGATGGTCACAATAGCTACTGAGACAGCTCCCAGCATCCCCCTCTCTGCGGGTTGGCTCAGGTGGCTGATGATGTTAGTGAGGTTAAGGTCATGAGTTCAAACCTGGCAATGGATACCTTGCCAAGGCTAGGGGAACCTCCATTGTGTAACCAAGGAGCACCATGGACATTATAGTCCTCACAGACCAGGCAGCCATCACCTACATACAAGCTGTTATGACAATGGGCCCCAGGAAAGCCCTGGGGAGCAGAGCTTAGCATCATCATCCCCTCTCTTGAGTAAACAAGTTAAAGCACTGTGCTCCCCTGCCTGACATAGGGGTAGTGGTGCCACCTTCATATGCAATTTGCACACTGTTCTATAGTTTCCTTTTGGGGGAGTCAGCCTCTATGACTCTAGTATTGTGGGCAGTGTGGAACCCCCAGCCTGAGGAGCTTCAGAGGGTGCTGTCCTCTCTCCACTTGGGTTGACACTGACAGAGTCCTCACTACAATATAGTGATAGATCCAGGAAGAACAGGTAGGATAAGCTAGTCCTGGGCACTCCCAACATGGAGCAGCAACATGAACACCCAGGCTGGGGTCTCAGGTCATCATAACTTCCATGGGAGCCCTTTCCATACTGGGCTAATGCAATCTAGAGGCACACTCCCATGGGGCCCCTTTTAAAAGGCTAACCTCCTGGTGACATGCCAACACTAGCCTCAGAAGCACAGGTGAGAGGGACAGAGGCAAGCAGGGAAGAAGGAAGAGATCATGTCAAGTATCACTGAAGTTTCAGGAAGCACAGAGCCTTAATTATTTTCTTAATTAAATGTTGACTCCTAAAAAGTTTACTCTGACATTTGACCTGCTCAGCCACTCTTTCTTCCTGACAATCTCTCCACCTTTCCCGGGCCTCTTCCTTTTTGGCCTCCTGAAAACTCCAACTTTCTTGAAAATGAGTCCACAGAGGCACTTGATGAAGCCAACGGGAATGGTATCTTGACTTGGAAACACAAGTTTCCAGCAATGCACAAGTTTTGGACCCACATCCATTCTTTGCTGTTGTTGCCTTTTCTGTAGAGATTGGGAGCTGTGACCATCACTGGAAGGGAGGGTGAGCCACAACAGGATGGCTGCAGGAGTAGAAATCAGGAGTGAGACCTGATCCAAGGCCTGACTGCCACTCCTAACTTCAAATGTAGGTGAAGCCTTTGCTAAAATGCACTCAGCTCTCAGCTAGTCCTACTGATGGGAAGAACCGTCTCCAAGAGTAACCCAAAATGGTGGGTAATCTTAGAAAGTATTTAACTATGGCCTTAGAATATTGGATAAAGTCAGGCCCTCTAAAAAGTGTTAGCTTGTTTAGTCTTAGATGTATGTTCTTAATCACTTTTTACTTAAGCTGAACTGGGTTGCATAGCAATTGGATGGGAGGCAGAGCATCCAGGGGAGCCCAACAAGGGGGAAAGGGAGAGCGTGCCTGGGATTGAACATCCCCAGAGGGGAATCAGGAGTTGGCCCCTGTGGGCTTATGCCCAAGAGCAAGTGAAATGCCACAAGCAAGTAAAGGTGGCTCATTTTAAGAGACAGGTCGCTATAGGGTCTCAACTTCCTGACTTTGCCCCAACAAAGCTGCAAAGGATGGAAGGGCAATAAGATCTGTGGGCTTAGAGAATGTTGAGGACATCTTCACCCTGGTCCTGGGCTCAAGATCCTGCAGTTTCTTGAGCCATTACTGCTTTTAAGAGAATGGGCTGAATCGGGAGATCCCAGGTGCTGGGAGAAGGGGAGCCTGGGCTGTTGGGTTGTCTGTGTGGATTTGCTGGAAGGAAGTAAGGGTCATGGCAAGGAGGCCTATATTAGGCTGCCAGCTGTCCCAGGTACTTCCACACTCTGCCCCCAGGTTTCTGGTGGGAGGAAGATGAATTGGTAGAGACCCCATGCAATTCCCGGTCTTAGTTAGATATCTGCTTGATGTGGTGGCCCATCCTTCTGCTTGAAACCTAGGAGTTACTTCTCAGGACTGAAAACTGGTGGTGAGAGAAAAGACTAGAGAAAGATTCTGTGAAGGAGACTGAGGGATATAAACACAGGCCAGGGAAAGGTGATTAAATCTGATCTTTTGTTTGTCCCTGTTAATTCATAGCTCTGGGGGCAGGGCAATGGGTCTGAGCATATGTCCGCATTTCATGTGTATTGTGTGATGTTTCTGAGCATGTGTGCTATGTATCTTGTGTGCCTATTATAAGTAAATGCATTGTGTGTATATAGTGAGTTTATGTGTATTTCATGTGTAGAAACAATGGTAAAGTAGCCTTTGTGTATCTTATATGCATATGCATTTTGTCTGTGTAGTTTTTTATGCATCTTGCATCTGAGTTGCAGGTTGTGTATTTGTATGTGGTGTATGTTTCTCTTTTGTGTATGTTCTGTGTAAATTCTGTATCTGTGCAGAGTGTGCATTTTGTATACAGTTATAACCATATATCTTCTGTGTTTGCTTTTCTGTTAACTTGGTCTGTCTGTATTTTGCACATGTTGCATGTTTTATGTTTGTGTGTGACAACAGTGTACCTATTTTGTGGTGAATGTACATGACTGTGTGTGAACTGTGTGTGAACATTTTAGAGTCCTGGGCCAACGACACTGTGATAAAATATCTACCCTGACCTAGGCCTCAGATATGAGTTGCTTTACCTTCCATTTTCCAAAGGTCTGTGTCCCTCCCACCCCATGTCTTGGAAATTCAGCACCACCTCCCATGAAGGAGAGGAAGAGAAGCACAGAGGCTTTGTGCTGGGCATGGGATGCCCTGCAGATACCTGGGGATGTGGGTGACCAGGCACTAATGAGCACCCTGGGCCTAGCACCCTGAGCTGGTGCCCCATGCCCCAAGACAACTGACTAGGCAGCAGTGAGGCCTGGGCTGGAGCCACCCCTGCACAGCCCGACCCCTGCAATTCACTGTTTGGGAAAATTCAGCCACTCTGTCAAAAGGCAAAGAAGCCCAGTTTGGTAAGTTAAAAGCCCCCTACCTGAAGCCATTTCAGGGTCAACCTACTGTCTACCTTTAGGCTGTGCAGTGCTTATTTGCACTCTGCCTGTTCTGGGGGGTAGGAAATGATTCTTTACCCATCCTTTGGTTCTTTTTAAAAAGCAGGTCTCATTGCCAGTTTAACGGGGAGAGAGTTTGGGTCTGGAGATCAAAATGATGCCTTTGGATCATCTAGGGACTCCATCCCTTAGTCCTGGACTTCAGACATTTCCACATAGAGGAGGCTCCCTTTAAGTCCAGATCAGTGGAATTTAGTCCCAGGGAGTCCTACTCCTTGGTGTCCTTGGTTTCAAAGCAGGGATCCATTCTGGCTCTTTAGGGAAAGGTTCATGAAAGTGACAGATGCAGAGCCAAATGATAATAAGATCCAAGTGGCATAGGTAAACGTGAAAATGGAGATGATGAACAGGATGAACTATAGAGAGGAGGCCCAGGGTAGGTCTGGCCCAGGACAGCTGGAACTGTGAGGGCCACAGGGCCCTTGTGCACTCAGTAAGACAAGCTTCAGCCATGGGAACTGAAGCTGCAGCACATGGAGGGCAGAAAGACAATTCTAACGTCTAGGAATCCATGGATACTGGAGTGTCTGAGGCAATGGCAGCAAACCCAGGCCCAGTGGGGTTACCAATGAGACAAATTAACCCGTTAGGCCTCTTAGACAGCCAACCCACCAAGCAGTGGATTTGCTCCTGAACCTGAACTCCAGAAAATGAATATATATATATGTGTGTGTATGTATATACATATACACACATATGTATGTATATATATACACCCTAGTGCACATAGTCAAACACATGCATAAATTGCCCTGTGTCAAAAATATTGCATAAGCTTGTACAATGTTCAAATGCAATTTTTTTTTCTATCGCTAGCTAGGTAGAGGAACGCGTGAAAGAGAGATACTCAATATATATTTATATACACTGGATCCACAGACCTGCCTGTCGTCAGGACCAGATGCCCTGGTCCACTGTACAGTCATGCCCGTGACTAGGTTATTTCCTAAGGTGCAGTCATGTGAGGTGTTCAGATGCTGCCTTCCCTGCTTACTCTCCTGGCTTTGCAGAGGTCTGCGTTCCTGTTTAGAAGAACAGGGATGGCTAGGCTGGGGGGCCAGAAGTTTTAGTTCCATTCCAAATAGTCTATCTTTTCCCCTGATGGAGGGATTTTGCCTTCTGATGGGAAAAAAACCCCTAGTTCAAGACCATTCCAAGCCTATTAATACTCTAAATATTAATACTGTGTAGGCTACTAGGAAAATAGGTTATCTCCTGTGTTTTAAATATTGAGATTCATGCAACAAACACCCATGCAGCTCTATTGCATCACTGGTAAATTTCACTGCAGTGTCAGTGTAGCCGGGCCACATCAGTAGGAAAGCAGATGTCTGCAAACTCCAGTAAGAAACCAGGCATGTTTCTGTGACCCTGGAGCCTGCAAAAATGGTGAAATCAGAGGCTTAGAGGTCCGTTGGTTTGTTAGCTTCTCCCCATAGGCCTAAGGGAACAAATGTGAAACTTGACAACTCATATTCGGTTATACTAACTGTCCCTCCCCCGGGCTTCCCTCACATCGACACTGCAGAGAAAAAGCAGAATGCAGCATTTTCCGTTATGAAACACAAGCCTCCGGAGCATCTACTTGGCAATTGCAATTCACAAACCTCAGCCTGTGACACAGAAAGTAATTCCAACACACAGGACTGTGTGTTCTTTTCAATGCAAAAATGAGAATGACCTTTTGAGTAAACACCAGCTATTTAAAGCTAAACCATGATTGTGTTCCTCTGTGAAAGGGCAGGTGGGCTCAAATGGGGTGGTGGGATGGCGGGGAGGGGAGTGCATCTCCTAGATGTTGTGTGCATTTCATTAGGAAGGAATGATGGCACTGATATGGTGCACTGTGTATTGGATATGAGGTGGCCTCAATGTCGTTCTGAAATCCTAGCTTGATAGGTGACTCCCATCTTTGGAAACTCATAAGCCGGTGATGAGGATGTGCATGAAAGCCATGATAGATATTCTGTGTCCTAAATCAAAGTCAAAAGATCAAAAGTCACTTGCACAACTATTGCTTTCCATGCAGAACCAGATACACACTGTAGAACACACTGACTACAATGCAGGCTATTATGCAACATCTGCATTAGTTCCATTGAGCTGTGAGTATGGTAATAGGTTTCAATCAGACATCAGTTAACATTTTGGTAATATTCACATAGTTTGTGTTAGCCAAGGTGCAGTTGGCTGTTTTCAAGTTTTCCTCTCTAAAGTCCTCATTACTGTTGTTTACCCCCTCCTGGATCTCCATGTAATCGGACTTACTAATGGTAGAGGCACTTCTACTTTTCTTTAGGTCAGGGGAGGATGGGATCTTTGGACAGCTTGTCACTTGCAAGTATTGGGCCTGCTCCTCTCCCTCTGTCTCCCGGTGGTAGAAGTAGTTGAAATTGGACACAATGACAGGGACCGGTAAGGCAATAGTTAACACACCTGCAATTGCACATAGGGAACCCACTATCTTTCCCCCAATGGTAGTCGGAACCATGTCTCCATAGCCTACAGTTGTCATGGAGACGACTGCCCACCAGAAGGCATCTGGGATGCTGGGGAACTGGGACTCTCGCTCATCGGCCTCTGCAAAATAGACAGCACTAGAGAAAAGGATGACCCCTATGAAGAGAAAGAATATCAGCAGGCCCAATTCTCTCATGCTGGCTTTGAGGGTCTGACCTAGAATCTGGAGACCTTTGGAGTGTCTGGACAACTTGAAAATCCTAAAGACTCTTACCAACCGGATGACACGGAGGATGGCCAGTGACATGGCCTGCTGGCCTTGCTGAGCGTCCTCTGGCTTCTCGGCCAACTCTGTCCCCAGGGTGATGAAGTAGGGGATGATGGCCACAATGTCAATGATGTTCATGATGTTGGTGAAGAAGCCGGCTTTGCTGGGACAGGCAAAGAACCTCACCAAGAATTCAAAGGAGAACCAGATGATGCAGAGTGTCTCTACAATGAAGAAAGGGTCTGTGAAGGAAGTGGACTGCTGGTACCCGATGGTGCTGTTGGAATAGGTGTGGAAGGTCACCCCACCACCATGCATGTCTTCATTCTCATCCCGGAAGATGGGCAATGTTTCCAGACAGAAGCTGACAATTGAGATCAGAATCACCATGACAGACACAATAGCTATAATCCTGGCAGGCCCTGAGCTCTCTGGGTATTCAAAGAGAAGCCACACTTGTCTCTGAAACTCATTTTCAGGCAGAGGACGCTCTTCCTCCTTGATGTAGCCTTCATCTTCCCGAAACATCTCCATCGCTTCTTCTCCCAGCTCATAAAACCGAATTTCTTCAGAGAATATATCTAAGGGCACATTCACAGGTCGCCTCAATCGGCCCCCCGACTGGTAGTAGTACAAAATGGCATCAAAGCTAGGGCGGTTCCGATCGAAAAAGTACTCATTTCGGAGGGGGTCAAAGTACCTCATTCGTTTCTTTGGGTCCCCTAAGAGGGTCTCTGGAAACTGGGCTAAGGTCTTTAGCTGGGTCTCAAACCGCAGCCCTGAGATGTTGATCACCACCCTCTCACAGCACTCGTGGTCTGCCTCTGGGTCATAGGTGTCCTGGGGGTGCCCAGGGAGGGCAGCAGCCTCGTCTGCTGGGTCTCCGGTGGCCACTGTCATAATTGGGACTGAGAAGCGCCTCACGCTATGCCTTTCAGCTGCCTGGTGGCAGGGAGCTCAGGGTGCTGCTACTGGCCCCAGGAAGCACAGGAGCATTGGCCTGGTCTCCTGCAGGAGAGCCCCGAGAGCTCTCTGAGAGCTGGAGAGACAGCCTCGCTTGGCTGAAAGACAGAGGCAGTTATTGACATGCGGCTACTCAGCATTGGCAGCCCGACATGGGTTGCCACTTTTTGTCTCCCATCTCTCAGCCAAGAGTTCAGAAACATGATCACCACCACCACCACGACAAAGCAAAATTTACTTTCACCTTGTAACTTGTCTGGGGATCAGGGGGAGCAGGTAGCAATCTCTCAAGGAACCTCTGGAATGCCCTGCACTGGGGGAAGGTGGCTGGTACAGGCCCACTTGTACCACACAGGCTTCGTGGAGCATAACCCCATGCTAATAGGTTAAAAGTGGACCCTCTCCCAGGTGCTGCACTAATGTCTCAGATACTCGTACCCAGGGAGGTATTCACGGTGGGGGATCTTGGGCCTGGGTCTTCCTCATTGGCCTCTACCCTAATGATTCTACACAAGGTTGTTATTAAATGATAGATTGATTTACCTGACCAGACAGGAACCTGAAGCTCTCTTCCTTGCAGAGCTGATTAGATGCTGCAGGAATCTTAGATGCACAAACAGGCAGCCCAACTCCCCATCACGTCTTCTCACTCCAGCTAGAAATAATGGTGAGTCATTCTGGGCAGGAGGGCAGATTCTGGGTCCTGGAGGTGAGCTCTAGGACTGGGCTGGGCTGGAGGGGCGATGTGATGCCTGGCCAGGGGCATGCGGGACTTGAAGACAGCCGAGCATGGGCCTGGAGCCTTTTGAAGGAAGGAGGCAAGATGCAAAGCTCAGCAAAAGCTGGAGTCCTGGCTGTCCTCAGGAGGTGTGACGTTGCCTGGAAAAAAACAGCAGCAAGGTGGAACCAGGGCATTTGGGCAGCTGGTGCCAAGATTTAGGAGGGTCTAGCAGCTTCCCTCATGGGAGGTGACAGGCCCCCATGCCCACCCTCCATTCTGATGCCAGGCCTGAGGACTATCCCTCAGCCTTCCTGCCTCTTCTGGGCAGGCTTCCCATCAGCTTGAAGCACTTTCTCCCAGGGAGCAAGACTCAGGCTTAGCTGGGCCTGCCTTATCCAGGGGCCACCCTGGGTTGATCCAGGTCCCTAGTCCCCAGCTGCTCTCAGGAAGGACTCTGGAAGAAGCACTCCTACCCCCACATGTCAGGGCACAGCAGCTCCCAAGAGGAGGGCTTAGCTCACTGCAGCCTGTCTACAAGCTCTGACCTCAGCCAGTCCTGGAAAAGAAGCACCCCACCCCCCCCCAGCACATACAGACTGCTTCAGAGCGCATCTAGGGAGACCCCACACAACAAAGTCGGCACTGTACGAAAGCTGGATGAACTTACTCTCCCTCCGGGATCCCTGGGCCGCAGGCCTCCCTCTGAGCCGGGTGGCATTTGAGCTGGGCAGTCGCTCGACCACTGATTTCTCCCCCAAGAGAAAATCCCTCACATCTCCTCAGCAGGGAGCACAGAACAAACGCTCAGCCTGCCTAGCTGTGAGGCTGCTTGGCAGCAGCGAGAGGGGGAGCCTGGAGGAAGCCGGCTTCCGGACTGGCCCCCTGCCGACCCAATCCCGCAGGCCCCAGGGCGGGGAGGGGTCTGGGCCCTCTCCCCATCGCCCCGGGCTCCGGCCGGGATTCCGTCCGGCGCGCTCACCGCTCGCCTCGGCGCAGAGGACCAGACCCTCCCGCTGGCCGCGGGCGCTAGCGCCACCTTAACCCCCTCCTGCCCGCGCGGTCGGCTCCTGCTGCGGGCCCGAGCGCAGCTCAGCTCTTAAGCCCCCGGGGTCCAGCCGAGGGACCGCCGAGGCTCAGTCTCCACCCAAAAATCCCGGAACCTGATCTCTGGGGGTGGGGAGTAGCCGGCGCCAGGCTGCTGCCCCAGATCTCAGCTTCCTTCTGAGCGCGGGGGCTTGGCTGCAGCCCACGGCTCCAGCGAAGGGGAAAGCCCTCTCTGCAGCAAAGCTGTTTGTTATTCTGTGCCGTAGAGGCGAATGCAGCCCGGCTGTCCCAAGTGGTTCAGGTCCTCCACCCCGCGCTATTTACCAGACTTGGTTATGCTGCCAGCTGCACTTCCCACCACCCACCAGCTCCTCTCCGTGCCCTCCGCCCCGCGCCACGCAAACCCCAGAGGGTCCCGAGCCCATTCTGTGCACTCTTCTTGAGCAGGGTGCAAGTTCCCCTTGATCTCCCCGGTCCAGGACTTGCCGAGCGGACTGCAGTGGTCGGCAAGGGCTTGCCCGCCCGGGACTCAGCCCGAGCCTGCTGCGCTGCAGGCTGCGCCGCCGGATGCCCCGCAGCCCCTCTGGGCGCCGCCGCCGGGCAGGGAAGGCAGCACGCGCCACGCAACGCCCCGACACGGATTTACCCTTCCGGATGGGCACCGGGGCCTCCATGTTCCTGGGTTACGGCCAGCGCCGGCAGAACCCCAGCAGCGGGCCGCGGCGGGGTGCGGGCGGCCAGCCGGGAGCCGGCTCTGCAGTCCCGCGGGCGGCGCGTACGGAGCTCCCGGCCGCCGCCCGCAGCCGCACCGCGCCACGCAGCGCCGCACCTGGCTCCACGGCGAACTCGAATTAAAGGGGCCGGTGGGAGCCAGGGCTGGGGCGGCAAGCTGCCAGCTGCCGCCACCGAGCTAGTCACCTTGTTGGCCCCCGGGCCTCAGCCCCCGCCCCGCGAGGAAAACATTCTTTGGCAGAGCCCGGCTTACTAACCAGAACCTCCAGGAGAGCTCAGCTGGGTGCTGCTGGGCCGGGGAGACTGGGGAGGGCAGAAGTTGAGGGGCGCTGGTGAGAGGCTCCTGCCAACGTAATGAAGTAGGCAAGGAGGAGATAATCAATAGTAGCTATCCCAGGCCCATGGCGGGATCCAGCCCCGCGGGAGACGTGTTGCTATTACTGTGGTGCCGCCAGACAGGATCTGCAGACCCCTTTCTTGCCCTTTCTCCCGCGGTCGCGACCCCTTCTCCAGATCGGCTTCCCACCTCCCTGTTACCCAGCAAAGATTTGGCTTCGCAGGGAAATGCAGCAGGTGCGGTCCGCAGCGTGGCAGAAACTCTTCTGCTGTGTTCGCCCCCACCGACAGGAGCCGCAGGAACAGGCAGCACTGCAGGGCTGGCCCTCTCCACTCCCCGACTCCCTCCCCCAGGGCCCGAGCAGGGAAGGCTGGGGGACACGCTGCTGCCCTTGGGAAGAGTCAGCTACTCACAAAACGGGCCCTCTGGCGGAACTTGCAAAGCCAGCTGGCCCACGGGGCTCTGAACTTGGGAGTGCAGCTTACAGCACCCTAGGTGGGCAGACGAGGATGCCCTTTGCTTTCGGGAAATGTGTGTGGGCAGCCCAGCCTGCCTTCTGCCTAGATAGGGCATCTGAGAAGGTCCAGGGTGCTTTGGGGAGGCATAAGACAGCCTCAAGCCCCTGCTAGTTCTGTTCTCCAGGTCCCTGTCAGGGTCACCTAGACAGGTGTGCCAAACAGTGGTGGTTCCTTGAGATCAGACTGCGGTAGATATGGAGCTCTGGATTCAGAGGGGCTGTAGCACCGGGAAGTCCCCACTAGGCCCTCCCCCACCCTCCTGCCAGGAAACCCTCCTCTCTATGTGTGTACCTCATGGGAAGAGCCCCGAAAGCCCATGAGGCCCGACTCCGGATTCTGGAATTTGGTAGTGGTAGTCTGTGAAGTGTGGTTGAAGACTGGGAGCCTGCCTAGAGCTGCAGGGGGTGGTCTGGGAGGGCAGTGGCCTCCAGGAGCCTGAAGGATGACAGATGACTATAGAGAAGGGCTGGTATGGTTTAGAGTCCCTTGAACCTGGCCTGTCAGTGTCCTAGTCAGTGAACAGCTCAGGTGTTTTGGAGGCAGCCAGATGGAAGCATAAATCCCTAACAGTTACTAGGTAAGTTATTTCACTTCTCTGGGCACCAGTGTCCTCCTCTGAAAAATCAGGATGCCCCTAAGGGTGTGGTGAGCTTTTAATGTTGAATGAGTTTAGCATCCAGCAGACACTGAATACATGACGATTTCTCTGCTCTGCTTCCTTGTGAAACTCTCCTCATAGCTCTCAGCCTCCAGGTTAGCTCTGGGGTGTTTCTCCAGGCTCCCAATCACCAGGTCCTTGTTGCCCTATTCCCTCTGCTTCCCAGATTGCCCCACCCTTTACTCTCCCTGAGATCTCACCATTCCCACCCCTCTACCAAATTGACCGCCAGTTCCCTTCCCTATATACTCTTTTTGAAAGCCTCCCCTGACCAGCACCAAGGGGCTCTGTTTCTCCGACTTGGCACACTGAGTTCTCCTGTCATTTAAAGTCAGATAATCCTGTGTGGCCAAAGTCAGATGCTTTATCCATTTGATCATATGTATATATTTCCTTTGCCTTCCTTCTTGAAAACAGAAGCTGTGGACAGAGAAAAGCCCTTGAAGGAGAATCAATTGTCATAATTGGTGACATGGGCTTACCATGTGTCAGACCCTGTGCTAAGCACTTCTAACCCAGGGCAACATTTGATCTTCACAGCCCTAGAAGTTAGTGTATACATTAGTACCATTTTATAGGAAAGGAAATGGAGGCAGTGAGAGGTGAAATCACCTGCCTGAGGTTAATAAGTGGTGACTCTAGGACTGGAATTAGTTCTTTGTGATTCCAGGACATGTGCCCTTAGCTCCCACACCACACTGTGCAGGTAGAATGAGTAGCCCTTGAATTTCATTTCCCTCTTTGAGATCTTCCTCTGACCTCTGCTTCTATTTTGTGACTTGGCCTCAGGGGTATGTTGTCCTCTCTCTATCCTTTAAACTTAAGTGTGAACAACAACAAAAAAAGAAATTAACTAAAGAAGGAAAAAAAAAAAAAAAAGAACCATCATAACAGTTGTTCAGGCACATTTCAGGGCTCCTGCCCTGAAAAGTATCTGTCAGTACCTTGGTTTGGCAGTGCTGTGTAGGAAAAGAACTCAGGCCCTATTCCCAGCACTGACACTTGCCAGCTGTATGAACTTGAGCAAGTTATTGACACTCTCTGAGCCTCCTACTGTTCATTTCCTAGTTGGTTGAATGGGAGAGCAAAGCTACTTTACAGGGTAATAAGGACAAAGTTAGTATAAAGAATGGACAGCCAGCTAACTTAACTGAGCCCCCTTTCCAGTTCTGTGGTGGGCTCCATTTCTGATTTTTGGCCACACAATAGCAGCCAGAGTGTCCCTTGATCCTTTCCCTGGACAGGGTGAAAATCCCCAAAGACCACTCCCTTTCCTTTGGTTTGGTTTCCTGCTTGAGAGCCAGGCCTTGCCCTCAGCAGAGGGAAGGGCTGTGGTGGCTGTCACAGTGAGTGATTGGTGACTACAGTCATCTAAAAGAAGAGTTTATAACTGTGTGTGCATACACACCCACACCCACACAGAGGGACTGGAGGCAGAATCTCTTAGTTCTTCCCATTTGTGAATCTTCTCAGGTGTCACTCCCAGGGAACCAGCTCCCCTTCCTGGCATGACTGCCACTTCTGCTTGATGCTCCCCACCAGCCCACTCACCCATGTGCTGGCACAGTCCGCACTCACCCATAGGTAGGCAGGGCAGGAGGACACTGGACTGACAGCCCTCCAGAGATCATTTGATTTAATCCTTGCCACCAGCCAGTGGGAAATATATCATTGTCTCTATTTTATAGATGAAGATACTGAAGCTCAGAGAGGACCATGGCAATTTAGCTGGTTAGTAGTGAGGCTGGAACAGAACTCAAGATTGTGTGACTTTGTAAGTCACCATGCCATTCTACTGCCCACTTTTACTGTTAGCTCGGTGCCAGGCCTCTGGGCTCAATTTCTGGTCTCAGGAACAGAGATTCCCCAGGGGTCGTCTCTCCTGGAGGCAACCTGACTTCACGCCAATCTGGTTTAGAAGGGAGTTGGTGCTGGTGATTAACTGTTCATACCTTAACTGAGGGCCTTGAGGCAGTGGTGGTGCAAGAGTCAGGACCCAGAGGCTCCCAAAGGGGAGGACAAGGCAAGGCATCTGACCAGGACTGCAGTCTGTGTGACCCAAGCTCACTCACTTGACCTTTCTGTGTAGCAGTTTACTAATAAAATAGGTAGGACACTAGGCCCCCCTACCCCCTTGCTTCATAGGCTTAAAGAGAGAGTGAGGAAGGAAGGAAGGAAGGAAGGAAGGAAGGAAGGAAGGAGGGAAGGAAGGAGTGAGGGAGGGAAGGAAGGAGGGAAATGGACCTTCATTGTTAGTGTGTGTTAACATGTCTTTGGTTAGGACTACAGAGGATTAATACCCATGGAGATGCATGGAGAAGCAAAGCCTGGTCAGTGTGGAACAGGACTCTGTTCATGTCACTGTCGTTGCTGATGTTGTGGTTGTGCATCTGCCTGACATTTGAGAACTTCCCTTGGAAGTGGCATGGGCCTCCACTCCAGCCCACTACTTACCTCCAAAGTCAAGGTCAGCCTCCTGCAGGAAGGCTTCTCAGATTAACTTCAGCTGCCTCTAAGGGGCTCCTTCATGGATGCCTGGGCCTTGGCTCCCGTCTTGAATGAGCTGCTACACACTCATCCCACTGCAATATTGGCTAAATAAAAGAATATGTTCTTTTATTACAGGGTGGCTCATGCCTATAATCCCAGTAACTTGGGAGGCTGAGGTGGGAGGATTGCTTGAGGCCAGGAATTCAGTATCAGCCTAGGCAACATAGGCAACATAAGGCTCCACCTCTAAAAATTTTTTTAAAAATTAGCTGGGCATAATAGCTTGTCCTTGTAGTTCCAGCTACTCGGGAGGCTGAGGTGAGAGGATCATTTGAGCCCAGGAATTTGAGGCTGCAGTGAGCCATGATCATGCCACTGCACTCCAGCCTGGCTGACAGAGCAAGATCCTGTCTTGGGGAAAAAAAAAAAAAAAAAAAAAGGCTGGGTGTAGTGGTTCATGCCTCTAATTCTAACACTTTGGGAGGCTGAGGCAGGCAGATTGCTTGAGTCCAGGAATTTGAGATCAGCCTGGGCAACAAGGTGAAACCCCATCTCTACAAAAAATAGAAAAATTAGCCAGCACGGTGGTGCATGCCTGTAGATCCAGCTGCTCGGGAGGCTGAGGTGGGAGGATCAGCTGAGCCCCAGGGAGGTGGAGGCTGCAGTGAGCTGAGATTGCGCCACTGCACAACAGCCTGGGTGACAGGGTGAGAACCTGTCTCAAATAAATAAATAAATAAATAAATAAATAAAATAAAAGAACATGTTAAGGAATGGCTAATGCAGGTAGTCTCTCCCTCACGGTTTGGAGCTGCTGCTCTGGTTCAAGCAGTGTGCTGGTTGTCTTACCGTGAGGCCCCCACTACTAATAC